GCCAATGATATATTAGGCACTAAGCTTCTTACAAGATATCAGCACACGTGCTATGAGATTCACTCTCATGTCTCACCACATCAAACGTCAAAACTTGAACATGTGCTTCACATGATCAGATGAACATGGCAAAGGCAGGCAGATAAGCGGGATAGATTAGGCAGGATTAATGGAAAACATTAAGACACAATGTTTAGCAAATACACCAACCTGATTATACACATTTTCAAATAATGTGAATAGGCCTCTCAAGCAGAGAGGCATGAGTTAAATATGAAGAGGCAAAAGACGAACCAAGCAGAAAATTGTGTCTGTGATCCTCAAGCAGCTAATACCAAGTAGAGACAATATATACAACAATTACAAAGGCGTGAGGAGCCAAGTATTTAGGTTAGGCTTCATTGATCTTCTCTTACCACTGATCTTCTGATATCACTACATTCTTATTATTCTTTTTCATAAAAAAAGTCTGCTTATACATATTTTAAGCTGCCACTGCCTTTACTCTCTATACTGTTCTTTTTAGTAATGTATAAAGCTCCCTTTTTCAAAGGAGTAGTACCTGAATTTCTCGAGTAGAGGCTCGTGGGCGAGAAACAAGATATCCTTCATGTGATAGTAAGTCTTGTGGTTCCCTTCCACCTTCTTCTTCGGTTCCCGTGGAAAAATACCTTTGAGAATGCATAGTTTCCTGCCAAATACCAAGATAAAGGAAAACAGATTAGAAAAAAAGAACACAAGAAACGTAACAAACAAACCAATATCCATCGTATTCGATTGCAATAAAAGGAAAAGAACTCAAGAAGAAAAGATAAAGGACACCAAAGTGATGAAACCCCAGCTCACCTGAAGGTGGACAGACTAACTTGAAGATAATGAACCGCCTTCGTCCTCGTGATGTACTTCGCCGCGTTTCCTTCCTTTTTCTTCCCCTAAAATGGAGCAAAAAAACACATCTTTCAGCTAGACGTACAGATTGGAAGGGAAAAGATCGAGAAGGACAGATAGAGAATACGTCGTAGGGATTACCGGGGGCCGGTAGTGCTTCGGCATCTTTTAGGAGATAAAAGGAGAAAGGAAAAGCCTCCTCCCCCGTCGTCGCCTTCGCCTTCGCCTTCGCCTTCGTCGCCGCCGCCGCCACCAAACGAGAGAGGAAAGACTGGGTTTGCGAGGGTTTTTGAGGCCGTGATCAAAAACTGATGCAACTAGCAAAAGAAGTTCGCATCAAAAACTAATACGTCTCAAGATCCTTATTTTCGCCAATAAATGCAGCCAAAATCCAATCTTTTTATTTCTAGGGAGGGTCAGTGCACGTTTCTGGATTCTAGAACCCTAATCTAAAGTAGAAACAGCAAGCGATTTAGAACTGCGAAAACGAATTAGGCGATTCGCATTAGTAGCCACAAGTCCAACATGATTTCAACTAAATAACAAAAAGAAAAGGGCCGGAAATCGGAGGATCCAAAGGGGGACGAATACGAACGAACAGCAAGCTTGCATTACCTGGAGCTTGAATCTCCCAGAGGGCAGACCGGGGGAAGCCTCGAAGCGATCGCAGTAATTAGGTCTCTCTCTCGCGTTTTCTCGTGCGCTGGAAGTCCTCCCTCCTAAACTTAAATCAAATAACGTGGCGCATATCGAGAAGCGTATTCGCCCTGCACCACCTCATCCCGCCGTCAGATATCCACATTCCGTATCCTGCACCACCTCATCCCGCCGTCAAATATCCACCACATTCCGTATCCTTGACTCAACTCGTGTCGTGATATTAGTGCTCGGATTTCAACGCGTCAAACATGCTGACAGCGCATGATAATAGACGGGCAACCATGGGGGCCCATCCAATAGAGATCTGCCACGTCATTGCACACTTTTCTAGCCTGGTTTACTGAAGACAGACTATCCTCATCCAACGCGAAATAACAAATAATATCACCCCGATAATTTTCAAGGACGATTCGACCCAGCTGGACAAACAGATGTGCAGCTAGAAAGCTGAGATTTACCCCTCCAATTTTCATTATTATCATTGCAGCATTTCATTATTTTCATTATATATATATATATATAACAATAATAATTCCAAATAGAAATTTGACGATAATAAAAAGATGGTCCGGTTTTGGACCTTGATCGGGTTTAAATCTGGTTTAAATCGGGTTTAAATCGGTGGTCCGGTCTGGTTTATATCGGTGGGCCGATATAACCGATTATATCGGGTTTTGGACCGGACCGGGCACCTCTTCCTCGACTCCGATCGTTACGGCCTCAAAAACCCTCGCAAACCCCATCGAGTCTTTCCTCTCTCGTTTGGTGGCGGCGGCGGCGACGAAGGTGAAGGCGAAGGCGAAGGCGACGACGGGGGAGGAGAGTCTTTCCTCTCTCGTTTGGTGGCGGCGGCGGCGACGAAGGTGAAGGCGAAGGCGAAGGCGACGACGGGGGAGGAGGCTTTTCCTTTCTCCTTTTATCTCCTAAAAGATGCCGAAGCACTACCGGCCCCCGGTAATCCCTACGACGTATTCTCTATCTGTCCTTCTCGATCTTTTCCCTTCCAATCTGTACGTCTAGCTGAAAGATGTGTTTTTTCGCTCCATTTTAGGGGAAGAAAAAGGAAGGAAACGCGGCGAAGTACATCACGAGGACGAAGGCGGTTCATTATCTTCAAGTTAGTCTGTCCACCTTCAGGTGAGCCGGGGTTTCATCACTTTGGTGTCCTTTATCTTTTCTTCTTGAGTTCTTTTCCTTTTATTGTAATCGAATACGATGGATATTGGTTTGTTTGTTACGTTTCTTGTGTTCTTTTTTTCTAATCTGTTTTCCTTTATCTTGGTATTTGGCAGGAAACTATGCATTCTCAAAGGTATTTTTCCACGGGAACCGAAGAAGAAGGTGGAAGGGAACCACAAGACTTACTATCACATGAAGGATATCTTGTTTCTCGCCCACGAGCCTCTACTCGAGAAATTCAGGTACTACTCCTTTGAAAAAGGGAGCTTTATACATTATATAATCAGGTTGGTGTATTTGCTAAACATTGTGTCTTAATGTTTTCCATTAATCCTGCCTAATCTATCCCGCTTATCTGCATGCCTTTGCCATGTTCATCTGATCATGTGAAGCACATGTTCAAGTTTTGACGTTTGATGTGGTGAGACATGAGAGTGAATCTCATAGCACGTGTGCTGATATCTTGTAAGAAGCATAGTGCCTAATATATCATTGCC